CAGTATTTTTTGCATCTATGATTCTGTGACATATATTGCCTTCTCTTATTGGATATCTATATCTGAATGGGTTAGACACCCCCATTTTCCCCCCATCGAGCTGGTTTACAACCCATATCAAGAAGTTGGAAGGCAATGGCAAAATGCCATCTTGAGAAAGCAAATACATTATTTATCTTTTCATATATTTATAAAATAAATAGTTATTGGCAGGAAGTATTTCAAAATGCAATTTTCTCCCCCCTTAAATAAAAGCCTACTAATTACTAAATGTGGAATGGGATATACAGATTGATGGTGAAGGGAACTGACTTCTTATCCTACTCCTAGAATTAAAGTAGGATGATAATAGATCAAGTAGAATAAAAAACTACAGGTGATTTTCAAAATTCATGGATCTTACAGATGTTATCTTTGGTCATGAAACTCACAGTGACTTAATATTCAGATGATTATGTTGTTTTCCCATCTCTTTGATCATCATTGCTTCTACTATAGCAGTAGGTTAAAATTAAAGCAGATCTATATGAATAAAATCCATTATTTCCATTAAATCTTGATTTCTGTGAATGAATTAATATCTGAAAAGAGAACATAATAGAATGTGTTCAGATATACTTGCTGCTTGATACTGTTTAGACTTCAGGAGGCAATCATTAGTAGCAGGTACAGTGCTATCTAACACTTACTTGCTCAGAATCTGTGTTAAGTGAAAGCTTTGTTACTTAAGGCAGAAGAAATCTGCTTCTTGTTTTCTCCTGATTTTCAGGTCTGCTCCACAAAAACCTAGTGACATCTAGTATTTGTCATACCCTGGGCTGGCCATCAGGCAAGTAGTGGCTTGGTCCTCATCCTCCAGATTTTCACAGCCCCATGGGAAAGCAGGATGTGGACACAGAGTGAAACAAGTTTAATGGTGCTGTACAGAGTAAAGAGGAAGTAGTGTTTAAGGGAAGTTCAGGGAAAGACTTTATAGAAATAATGATTCATGAGCAGAAATTTGATCAAAAGTTCATCAGACGGACTCAGAGAAGACTGACAGAAGAGAGAGAATTATGTGAAGTCACAGGACAGTTAAATAGCTGCATGAGTGTGGGTACTTAGTATTGCTGTGATGTAGTCTGGGGATGTGGGGGAAGAGGAATTGAAGTGGGAGAAGGGCAAATGTGATTGTAGTAAAGAGAAAGGAGGGTCTGAAAATGAGTCTTAACTGCCAAGTATCAGGCCTTGCATATTATTCTTAGTTGATGGAGATGTTGAAGGTTTTTGAACATGTCATTTCATAATCGGATTTCCATTTGGAAAGATTAGTTGTAGTTGGCTTTTGGAGAATGGTGTGGTGAGCCAGATTGTATAGTAGTTAAAAGGATAATGCAATAGTTTGAGTGATGAGATGGTTTTCTGGTGTAAAATATTCTATTGATTCATAAATATGCTACCACATTTTAAAATGTCAGCAAATTGAAATATTTTTAGTATTCAGTAGAACTAATTCATTGTGACTTTTATAGCTTGAAGTTATTCATGAAATTAATAGCAGTGAAAAGTTGAAAGGGTTGGTATTTTGTCAGTGAAATTAAACCACTAAACTTGTCACAAGTCTCCTAATTTTCTATATAATGTGGAATATAACTTTACAAAAATGTAAAGAAATGAATTTTTGATATGGACACATCTAATTATTTGTGAAAATTCTGAATATTTGAGAATAGCCGAATGATGGTACGTGGTAAATACTCAGTAAGCATTTGTTGAATTTCCACTTGAAACTTGAGTGTTTTAACTAATACTTTGTATCCATTTTAGCCATGGAATAATAGACTTGATAGTTTTTCAGCAAAAAGTTAAGTCCCAAATCAAAAAAGAATAAACATATTTGTTAGAGAACATTAAATAGTCATATATGCATGTAAAATTTTAACTTTGCAAAAATGTACTCAAGAGATCCTTACAATTTGTGTAATTGGAAAAACATGTTAAAAATAGCTTTAAATTGTCTCACAAACAGTATGGCATATTCCTATCAAACTTGATTTTTTTAAAAGTTTTTTTATACCTTTATTTTTATATGGTGCTGAGGATCGAACCCAGGGCCTTGCACGTGCAAGGCAAGCACTCTACCACTGAGCCACAATCCCAGCCCCCAAACTTGATTTTGATACATATATCCTTAGTTCTTAGTTGCCACAATAGGAAACAAAAGTCAGAGTGGAGAAAAATAGAACACCCACAGCAGCTTAGTGGTATAAAATATTAGATTGCTCTATCTTTTAAAATTTGTACCTAAGATTTTATGTTTATTCAAGTACATGTGATAGTACAGTATGGAATTAATAAAGAGTAGGTTGTATGTATCAAAATCAAATAATGTAATAATGATCAATTTCCATTAGTCATTTTCTGCAATTCAGACTAATGCTCAGAAAATGGATTCATACTGATTATTAATCAAACTTCCTTTCATTTTATGTAGAATATTATCAGTGCATATCATTTTAGTTTGTAAGATTATTTTTCTGTATTTGATGTCACATTATATTTCAGTTTCAGAGATTATATGTGGTGTTAGAGGTTAGAATGAATTTCGTTTCTTGATTTTTTAGAAGTATTTACAAAAACCAACTTTTTGTTATAATCTGTATTTCTTTTCTCATATGATAATTGAATGTACTATTCACTTTCAGGAAAGTTTTTAGCAAAATGTATTATTACTTCATACTGAAACTTAACAGTTTGTTTTAGGGGAGTCACTGGTGACATGTTTTAAAGCAGAAATCTTTTCATGCTTATTTTTTGCTATTTAATGAGATATCAGGTATATTTTAACAAATGGGGTTTCCCTGATGAATCATTAAAATGAGTGAGTGGGCTGGAAGGTAATACTAGCTTTTCTCAGCACTGCCCTATTTTACTTTGCTGGATTATTGGTTACTTTTTAATTAAAACCTGGGTGTGTTAGAGTAAGTGGGTGGAAGTGCAGAACAGAAGGGGGAGAAAGGGTAAATAAGACAATACCAGGTAAACCTCCGATGACCTATTGGGAAAGCCTAAGCCTACTCACATTTTACGTTCACCAGCTTAAACCATTTAGTGTTAAAACAGTGCTTTTGCTCTGCCAGGCTTAAGTTTCCAGATAGTATATACAGGTAAATATAAAATGTATTTTCAACAATTGATCAAAGTTTTCAGACATCAAGCTATGTGTAATCTGTGGAATCAATTTCTCATGTGTGTGGGATTAAAACTGTTAAAACCATTGTCACTGAAACTGTACCTTCCTACTACTAATAGCAGTAAGGTGTCTATGGAATATATTAATACAATAATTCCCCTGATTTAAAATTATTACAAGGTATTAGATTGGAAAATTATTTTAACAGTGTAGGTACCTGAGTTGAGGACTAATTATGAATATCTAGTGATTTGGGTTTTTTTCTTTTAACAACATGATACATTTGTATTTAGCACACCTTTTTCAGTAGACCAGTAACATATTGCAAATTTCCTTTATCTATACTGTTAAACATTTTTTCAACTACTGCGGCAGTTGTAACTGCTAGAGGAGGTAGACAAAAATGTAGTTCACCTTGAAAATGATCATGGCTCAGGGAATAAAGAAATTGGGTCAAGCCTAAAATAAATGCAGGTATAATGACAAAAAGTTTTAATAAAAATTTAAAAATATTCACAGCATTGGTTTCAGGCAACTTTTGTTCTTTATCTTATCAATGCAATATTAGTTTTTAATTGAGATGATGCTAATGGCACTTTTTTTATTTTTTGTCAAAATGTTTTTATGAAATGCTATTGTGATTTTTCACTTTGTATCCCCTTTTAATTATAAACATAAATTTTTGGGAGGTCAGATAATTCTTAAATAGATCATTTTGTCCTTTGGTGATCTTAAATAGCATTTGACATGGTATAAAATTCCTGTCACAGATGTAAATTTGACTCATTTTATATTGCCAAATTTAATGTTTAGTATTAAACCATGTATCATTAAATCATAGTATTGATAATGAGTTAAGCTTTCATAAAGCATTAATAGTATAGGAGATTTTCATTCATCTGGTGCCACTGGGGAACAAAATTTGCTGAAGAAATGAGTTTTTTTTTTTTTTTAAGTGAAGCTTACTTGTTTAAGCAGAAAAACTTAAAAAGTTGCTACAATTTTTTTTTTTTTGGAAATATTTTACCTGCTTTTTTTTAAGGAGCAAGAGTGGAGTGGCTGTATACTCTCTCTCTCTCTCTTTTTTTTTTTAATGTCTTGGGATATTCTTAGTGTCATGAAGTCAGTGTCTGATTGGTATTTGTTCTCCAATACAAGAAGTGTTCATGTTCCCCCCACCCACTTTGGTCTGTTTTTTTCCTTTTAAAATGTCACACCTTTGACACCCCAGATTCTATAACTTACCCCATTTAAATGTTCCAGGGTTTAAGGTCTGTGGTAATACTTGTGATAATGCTTTAACAGGTTCATGAACTCCAGCACCTATGTTAGACATAGGTGTTTGGCTCTGTGTAGGCTCACTGCCATCTTTTGGTAGACACCTGGGCACAGCCTCTGGACATCAAGGAGACCCTGTCCTTGCTTTGGTATTAGCACTTTAAATTTGGAGGTTTTATTCTTTCTGCTTCTACTCTCTCCTTACTAGCTAGTGCTAGTGGTCCAGAAATGTTCGTCTTTGCATGTGTGTTTATGAACTTCTGTGTCTGAGTGACCACCTGCAGTTTTATCTATGTTTTGCTAAAATGGGCAAATAGTATATTTCTGTTACATTTTAGCAAATTCTGTTGTAACAGCAAAATGAGTATTTTTTTTTTTTCCAACCTCGTGACTATTTGCTTCAGCCAGTGTTTTCTAAAACAAAACTCAGGTACAGTAAAAGTATTTGAACTACTCTTTAATGTGCTGTAATGATATTTGTTTTGAATATTATTTAAAAATGAGTTTTTCCCTTTTTGTTTGTATCTAATGGGAATCATCTTTGTTCCAGATTGTGCTTCAAGAAGAGTACAGGGAAGAATATATTTTCTTCTTGCCACAAAAGTTGCAATAGAAGTAAGTGGGGAATTGCCAGGATATGTCTGTCTCCACAAAATAAGCAGAACAAATTTCCATGAATCAAAGCCACTAAGTATAGTTTTCAGAGATGGTAGGACATAGTTACTCTCCCTAGAAAAATACCCCAAATGCAGACACGCCCATTGGCCACTAGAAAAATGCTCAAGTAAATGCTAGTTCAAACCTGTACATTCCACTCTTCGTGTTGAGCTATTAAAGGGTTGGAAATCTACTACAGCTATAATCTTTTTTTCCCTTTTTCTATTTTTCTACCTCCCACATGCTTGGTGTTCAGTTCTGCTTACTGAGTGTCTTGAACCTATAGCAGCACCTACACATACTGCCTCCACAGTGGCTGGTGATTAGCAGATAAGTTGTGATTCACACCCATAAGAAACATCTGTAAAATAAATCTATGTCACAATACATACTGTAGATTAATCATGGAAAAGGGCAGAGTGGTGAAGAATCAGAAAGCAGTTTTTTCCCCCCAATATTGATGTTGCTTTCTTTGAGGTTATGTGAGTAAAATATTCTTTAGAGAGAGGTTTATATCACATTCCATCACTTAGTGAAATATTATCTCAGGTCATTTATACAGGAGCCTTTTAGAGACCTTTTAAGGATACATAGAGCATGTACACTTTAGTGTGATTAGGTTGGAGGAAATTAAGCTAGATAGTAGATATTTGTGATGTAATATAGCAGCAATGTTTAACTGCCTTTTATCTATCTGTCTTTAAGTTTCTGACATAATTTTCAAAATTCTCTTTCATTCTTCCCTCAGTTTCTTTCTAGAAGTTTCCATCATTTGCAGGATTAATGCCTACCACTTTGTTGAACTTGGACAATGTTTGAGAACTCATTGAGCATTGCATTATTAAAGCAGAAGTCTCCAATGGGCCTTAAAAAATTAAGCTTTGCATAGCTCTGTCTCTGAGTTTACCTCTTACCCATAAAACCTGTGGGGATCTCAGATTCATATTTGTAATACAAGTGAATGATGAGAAAAGGGCAATACCCTGTGTATATCAAATGCATGTGTACATCCACCTTTCCTACCTATGCCTGGTAGATAGGAGGCTACAAATGAAGATTATTGAATTTAAAATGCTGGAAGATTTGAAGATTACCTTTTTCCTTAAGAAAAATGATTTATACTGTTAAAAGAGTAAATACCTTATTTTTATTTGAAAGCATTCATGATTTTATCTGTACAACACACTGCTGAGATTAGTACTGTTACTCACTTTAAAGAAGATGAGACTGAGTCCTACAAAGTTAGGTAACTTGTTCAAGGCCATCCAGCTAGAAAGTGATGGAACTGAAATTCAAACTTATACCTTCTCTGGCAAATATTGTTTCTTACTTTACATATAAGTGAAATAAATACTCGTGCATGCGTGTGTAAACGTGCAAACATGTATACATAATACAAGTGCTCACTGGTATTCAGATATCAAGAAAAAAAGCTTTTTTTTCCAGTTCACTCATTTCTCAGAGAACTATTTGAATCTTTTTACTTTGAAACACAATTTAAGTAGACACCTTGACTGAGCATGTGCAATACAGTTTTATTAGTGAAAAGCATTATTGAGTCATTGAGACTAATAATTTTACGGAATAACATTACTTAAAAAAGCAATATGCTATCTAATGAGTGGTATTTACTTCACTCAAAAGAAAATTCAAACATCTGGAATATTTTTTAAGCAATCTAATATTCATTTACAAAATGATGTTTCTGCCTTATGTATTACAGGAAATAGTATAAAATTTGAAATGTATGTTAAAGTTTTACATTCATACAGATTATTTCACTGAGTACATTAACAAAAATCATATTATTAAAATGAAAAATTGCTTAGTAGCCAAATTCTCAGTGATGAAATTTTAGTATTAATAAACCCATTTTTTTTCTTTGCTACTTTATCCTTCTTAGGTTTCTTGTATAAAGACATTTGTAGAATCCTTGATAGTTAACAGATATGTAGCTTTACTCAACTTTTTGATATTCCTTTGGGGGTGGGATACTGACAGTAGTGGGGAAGTCATCAAGGTATATATGTAGTGTCTCAAAAAATCTTATGCTTTAGTTTTTTTTAAAATTTTTTCTTTTAATTTTCTTTGTAGTTGTCAATAGACCTTTATTTATTTATTTTTAATTATTTATATATGGTGCTGAGAATTGAACCCAGGGCCTCACACATGCTAGGCAAGCATTCTACAACTAAACCACAACGCTAACCCTTAAGTTTTTAATACTGGAAAATTGAGATTCAAATATGAATGACTTTCTTTAAAATATAGATTCATTAGGGGCAGTGATAGCTGATGAATTTAAAGATGGATTAATATGAAAGTCATAGAATCTGAACATTTCCAAACTGGGAGGGACCTTACAAATGAAGGGCTCTCAGAGTGGAAATCTTTATTAGAAGATGAGATCAGTGACTGTAAAACAAGGGCTTCAGGTCAAGTAGGTTCTTGGGTCACTGAGTCAGGCTCACAGCTCAACCAACCAGGATTGTGAATGATCACAGGAGGAGAAGGCTTTTGTGTTCTTGGGGTAGGACACAAAGCTTAGGGTTATGGAATAGAGTAATCTGAGGGTATGAGGAAAACAAGCAAAAAATAAAGACACTTTTTTTTTAAAAAAATAAAAATATTGATTCCAAAAATTTAAGACAATGTATTTTTAAAAGATAGGATTTCTTTTCTCCTCCTCCTCCTGTGGGGATCTCAATATGCACTCTGTGATATCAGAACATTAAATTATGTAAGCTGATATCTCCTCCTCCCCCCGACCCCCAGGACTTTGTGCTTGCTAGGCAGGCACTCTACCACTGATCTATATTCCCAGCCTCTGAGATGTCTGTTTTTTATTTTAATTTATGTATATGTGAAAAACGTGTATGTGTATATACATACACATATAATTATTTATTTATTATTTTTATGTTTTTCAATGTAGGGATTGAACCCAGGGATGATCTACCACTGAGCTACATCCCCAGTCCTGTTTTGTTTTGTTTTGTTTTGTTTTGTTTTGAGATATGGTCTCCCTAAGTCCCTCAGGTTTCCCTCAGGTTTTCCTCAAACTTGAAATCCTTCTGCCTCAGCACCCCAAGTAGCTGGGATTACACACCAACACTACTGTGCCCAGTTTAGAATGCATATTTTTAAAAATTACACATGACTAAATTATTTGTATTTTCTTTTTGAGAATAAAATTTAAACATTTAAAGGATTTTCATATATATCTGAAAAAATGTGTTTGTTTTTTTTTTTTGTATTGACTCTCAAGGTTTGAATGGTCCAATGAGTATTCTTATCATTGAGGCATTCTATGGAGGCTCCCATAAACAGCTGGTGGATCTGCTCCAGGAAGAGCTACAGGACTGTGTTCTTTATACCCTTCCTGCAAAGAAATGGCATTGGAGAGCACGGACAGCAGCTTTGTACTTCTCTCAGAACATTCCCGTCAGTGAGCATTACAGGTAATCAGAGTTCAGGAGGCATCTTCAGCTTGTTTTTAATGTACCTGTTTTCAGGATGTTGATTCTCTATCAGCATCTTAAATTTCCTCAACTCTATAATTGGTTATAATGACTACAGTTGGTATATGTTTAGAGACAGAGAAGCAGTGGAATAAACTCACACTCTCAGGACACCTGGTTATTAGGAAAGTGACTTCATTTAGAACCTACAGTTTTTCTCTTTTATCTTGTGATATTATTCTGTGTGCATATGTGGGTGTGGGTGACAATTTTTGAACTGAGATGCAAGTTGATCTTGGGCATGTTGTTTTGTGCCATTGTTTGTTTTTGTTCACTAACCTCCAATGCCTTTTTTTTTAGTGAGTATACAGTTTCAGTTTAGTTTATTATACTATTCTGCACTAGGACCCAGGGTTGAAAAGATGGATGTGACTAGGGATTTAAAGACTATTAAGATAGACATAGATATGCAAGTGCGATGTGAGTATGAAAGCTGGAAAAAATGATTTTGTCTGTGACAAACTGAAGGTGGAACTGGTAATATTTGACTCAGTCTTGAAGGTTGTGAAATTTTGTAGTATAGACCTCAATTCTGAATTGTGATTTGTTAGAAAGTGGGAGGTAGGAGGATGTATTTGAAAGAGGCTTATGGAACATACTGAAAAAATAGAGGAGAACTACTAATTACATTTGTAGGGGTAACAGATAGAAAGGAAGAAAAGGAATCCCCTTAAATATTTCTCTCCTCTTAGTCTCTGCCCTCCCACATGTCTCCCTCTGGTTAAATAGTAGAAGATTCTCTGACTGGTTTATAGATGTGATGATCTTGCCATTCTGGGCCCCACTGTGTAGGGCTGTGTTGCTTCACGTAGGAGAGAGCAATGCCACACTGGTAGTGATGTAGTTAGAGACAGGTTGTTCAAAGGGCATGCTGCAAGCTGCAGTGGATATCTTGGTTCCAGCAGCCATATCCATCTGCTGCATGTGATGTAGATCAGCTACAGAAAGACAGCAGCTTGTAATTTAGATGTAAGTTTCTGTTCTTAGTAGTGATTTGGTAGATTCAGAGAATAATTCACTTCATGAATGAAAACCATGCATTGTCTCTTGAGTTCAGATTGTTGGAATAGTAGTAAGTACTCATCACATTTTATTTTAAAGATAAAAGTGCCATTAGAGTGCATATTGAGGATTTTGTATTTTTCTAATGTAAAATGTATTGTGGCTTACATAATTTAATGTTCTGATATCACCAAGTGAATATTGTTGATTCACTAATAGTATGAGAAATTTTAATAAATATGTTGATATAAAAGTTGTAAAGACGGGGCTGGGGATGTGGCTCAAGCGGTGGCGCGCTCGCCTGGCATGCGTGCGGCCCGGGTTCGATCCTCAGCACCACATACCAACAATGATGTTGTGTCCGCCGAGAACTAAAAGATAAATGTTGGAAATTCTCTCTCTCTCTCTCTCTCTCTCTCTCCTCTCTCCTCTCACTCTCTCTAAAAAAAAAAAAAAAAAAAAAAAAAAAAAGTTGTAAAGACAATGGTAACATTATTGCTGTATGAAAATCTGACTGTTTATAGTTGTTTTCACATCTTATTTAATTGTGTTCTTGTAGCACAAATTGTATTATATTACTCAAGGTCAAGTAATACAGTAGAGTTGTTGGCACATTTTCATTTGACCTTACTATTGGAAATAATAAATTTCCACTGTCATTTGAACATTAAAATGTACCTTTTCTCTATCTGCTGTTTGATTTCATTTTGATTATTCAGTACTGCAGAATTAATTTATTGTATCATAGACATCTTTACAGTGGGAACACGCAAGCACTTCTTTGCACGTGGCTTTCATGCTATCTTGGAAGACTGAAGCATTTGAGGATAAATATCTCAATACTCTTTGAAGCAGTCTTAACGTGGGAGGTGGGTTACTGAAAGATCATTGTGTAAAGTTTTATTCTCTGAAAGCTGTAACCTCACTGCCTAACAATAGTATCTGTCATATTTCAAAGTCAACCATTTAATCTGCTGTTATTTGTATTAATCTAATCAGACTTCACCCAAATACATACCTCACCAATTTAACTTACAGTTCTATTTTACCAAAAATAATTCATCTGTTCTTTACCAAACAACTTTTTTGAATATTTTTGGGAAAATAGCAGCAGATTGAAAACTTAAAACTAGATTAAAAATTATGCTTACTCTATCCTAGACTGAAGTACACGAATGACCTTTTGTTTTTGCCAGATAAATCTGATTGCAGTGGAAGCTTTTAAATATATGAAAAATATTTACTTTCTTGTTACTTATTCTTCTTGTACATTTGGTAAATAAACCCACAAAAATTCATAAAGGTAAAATAGTTAAGTACCAATATTGTCTAGTATGCAAATTGCTCTGTACTAATAAGAATGTGTCTGGTGAGAAAGCTCTTTAATGTAGGTGTGTTCATTATTTTTCTCAGCTTCTGTACATGCAGTTGTTAATTTTTATGTTTATTATATAGGAAATATTTTACTATTAAGAGAATAAATGATTCAGCCTAAACAATCATTTTGATTTGATTTTGTCTTAACAACTAAAAGAACAGATCACGATTCACATTAGAGCTATTCAATTTGATTATAGATTACAAAAGCTCAACAAGTTATTTGTCTTAAAAGTAGTTGATAATTATTGTAATTCTTAGGTTTTATTGAAGCATTGCTTTTTGGAAACTTACAAAATGCACAGAAGGGTTCTGAAGATGGGGGCTTGAGAAAAGGCCTTAAATTTTGTGTTTTGAAATGTATGAGTCATTTGTATTAGGATTAAGCTTTTTCACTTTCTTAGAGTGTACCTTAGACTAAGCTTCAAGAATAGTTCATTTTTCTTTCTGTAGTATCTCTAGATAACCAAAAGAATCACTTATGTAAATGTTTTTACTCTGGGATCCCTATAATTATGTTTTGTTCTGTCTGAGATATTGTGGAAGATACAGGTCATTGTCCACTTAACATTTTTAACTTTTTTTTTCTTGTCAATAGAATGCCAGTTTTCTTTGGGGTGGCTAAGTATCCAGCCCTTGGGAATGAAGCATGATTGAGCCCAATTGGTTGTGATAATTTCATTTGTCTTTGGCAAAATTTCTCTGATGTTCTTGCAACTAGGGTTGGTCAGACTCCAAGTTATGGCAAATTAGTGTTAAGTGGATGGATGACCTCTGGGTGTTCTTTAAGCAAAGTGTTTTCTTTCTTTCTTTTTAATTTTGCTTTTAAAAGGGGAGCGCCACCTCCTTTTTCCTGCAGTTGACTGCAGTTGTAATGTCTGTAATCATGAAGTTCAAGCATAAGAACAAAACATCAGGATTGTCTCTATAATGGCTGACAGAAGCCTGGAAAGAGGTGGACTAGACTTCAGTTTTGCATAATATCACTACCAAGTCACTTGAAGAACTTTGCCTCTAAAACATGTAGCAATTCTTCACAAAACATAACTCTGTGACTCTTCCTTTAATTGAGAGAGGAGTACTGAAATCTCTAACTGTAATTGTGGTTTCATGTATTTTTCTTTCATGACTATCATGTGTTTTGTTTTTCCTTATTTAATATAAAAAATAAAGATTGTACATTTTTTATTTTTTATATATACACATTATGTGTATATATAAAAAATAAAAATTATGTGTATAAATATTACATAATGTATATGTATACACATTATGTAATATTTAAGTCAGGTTAACCATACTTATTTCCTCAACATTGATCATTTCTTTATGATGAAAGCACTTAGAATCCTTTACCTCTTATTTATTAAAATATATAGTACATAATTTTTTTAGTTGTAGTTGGATACAATCTCTTTGAGTTAATTAAATTTTTTTTAATGTGGTGCTGAGGATTGAACCCAAGGCCTTGCCCATGCTAGGCGAGCGTGCTACCGCTGAGCCACAATCCCAGCCCCAGTACATAATTTTTATCCATGGTCATTATCCTAATAGCATAACCAAACTTCTTATACCTATCTAAAAGAAGCTTTGTGTATCATTTTTCAGAAGGCTGTTCAAGACATATTAAGTGAAAAAAAGGTAAGGTGTAGAACAGTGTTATGTACTGTCCTTGGTATGAAGAAAGAAAGGTGTAGGAACAAACAGAAGAGAGTATACTGGAAAGGAATAAAAATAGTTGCCTGGGGAGGAGTGTGATAGAAGCAGTCAGTGTCCCACCTATGCTTCTTGGACCTTTCCTTGGCCCAGGTGTAATGCTTGTTGCTGTTATCTGCAGCTCTTTGCCTTAGGAAGCAGCTGCTCTCTCCCATATGCAGAAGGCTGGGAGCAGCCCTCCATGAATGATCCTCACCTTTTATCAGGAAATGTGATATTGCATATCACAATGTGTACTGCATACAGAGTGACAGACACATTTATATCATCTTTAATAATTTATTTTTAATATTTTTTTATCTGGGATAATACCCCATTATAATATATATATATATATATATATATATATATATTATATTTTATAATGGGATATGCAGGATCCTTCAAAACTGTAGCCCAGGAAAGATCCCCTCTTAGTTGGTCTAGCAGTAGTCTGGGAATGAAACAATAAGGAAAAGAGAGGAAGATAGTGAAATTGAAAGCAAATATATAAGGGAGATGAACAAACTCAAAATAGTTACTTTGAAATCACAAAGTGGATAGACCACAGGCATGATTAATTGTTTTTAAAGACACACACTTTTTGGAAGAAAAAAGAATATAACTACAGATATAGGACAGATCAATAAAGATGGGAAATACTTTGAATACTTTTATACTAATACATTTAAAACTTAGAATGGACAATTTCTTAGAAAATCTTATGTTTAAAAACGTCACTCAATATGAATAGAACATCTGAATGAATCTATAATCATTAAACATCAATAAGGCAAGGGTTGGGTCCTTGGACTGTGTTGATTTACTGTCCCTATGCCATTGTCCCTTCTTCCAAACTTGGGTTT